CATTCTACTAGATTCTTGTAGTATAGTTGCTTCATAGTATGCTAGTTAGGATGAAACCTTGGAATATTTTATGTTTGCATGTATATTAGAGAAAACATAGATCCAAGGTTTATAAGGTTGCATGTACACTATAGGAGTGTTAGAATGCTCAAAAATCCATCAGGTATTTACCCTGAATGGAGGGACATTTACTTGGAAAAGTTCCAAGTAGGAGACTATAGTTGATTCAACGTGTGAATCAGAGTACATAGCAGTGAACGAATCGTCGAAGGAGGCAATATGGTTGAAGAACTTCATTGGAGACCTTAGAGTTGTACCAACCATAAAGGAGCCTATGGAACTTTTTTGTATAACGAAGGAGCGGATTCCTTGACCAACGAACCGAGGGACCATGGTAGATCCAGGCATATCGATAGAAAATATCACTTCATCAGACATTGGGTAGAAGAGGCACTCCTCGTAGTAAAGAGGGTATCGTCAGAGGAGAACCCAACATATCCCCTTATAAAGGGTTTGAGCAGGGTTAAGTAGTTACAGCATGCGAAGAGCATTGGTTTGAAGGATGATATTAGTTTTAGTGATTAGATAGTTGTTTAGAAACTTGTAATAGATAAGATGTAAGTGACATTTGATGATTAAATAAAGGATTTTTATTGATGAGTAAAGTTACTATCTTGTGTCAACTGTTTGCTATTGTTTCACTTTTCCATGTTTTGACTTCTTGAGTAATAGGATTATTCGAATTATCCACAGTCGATCATACTTTGGAAGTAGGCTAGGAGGTTAGAATGTCATGAATTGGTTTATAGATTGTCTAAGTGTTTAGACATAACAATGGTTTGCCACAACATTCATAAATGCTCTTGAAATAAGATTTGAGTATTGGATTAAACCTATGTTCACTTGAATCACTTCATGGAATTTATCATGAGTAATATATGAGTTGTTGTTTACAAGTTGGTTGTACATTGATAATGTGTAAACACATCAGTAACTTAATGTTTTAAAACATGTTGTTGTGTACGATTTGATGATTAAATAGTTCAAGCATATAAGTCAAAGTTTATTTGTTCCTTTTATACTAAGAGAGTAAAAGTGATATCTTGGGCCCTCGATGATTTTTGTTGACTTATGTATCGTGCCCGATCAAGACTGAATTGATGTGTTCAATTAAGTTCTATATCAAATGAATCAGAAGTTGGGAAACAAGCTGTTAGACATTGAGAATGATTATGTTCCATGTCATTATCCACACGAGATCTTGCAAACCAGAGGATTATATAATCCCTTATCTAAAGGACACACATTGACTAGGTCAGAATTCGACAACGGTTTTTAAGAGTTACGATTGCTAATCATATTTTAAAGTGGCATTGGCAGTTATAATTATTAGACTTATCTAAGTGGGAGACTATTGGATTAGGTGTGTAAGCCAATAACTATAATTGGGATGTACTTGACTCGATAGAAGCATGGTCCTTTTAGGTTGCCTTCACCATAGCAATTTGATATGGAGAAAGAGGTTAATTGTAATTTATTAATATATTACAAGAATAATATATTAATTGAGAAATCCTAATATTTAATTGGTATGGATCATAAATTAATTTGGAATTGATTTGGTGATGAAAAGAGACTGATTAAATTATGGGGACTGATATTGTAGTTATATCATAGTTGCAAGTTGGGCTTATGGAACACTAGGAATGGGTGGAGGAAATTCTATTTGTAGCCCACATAGAATTCGTCCAAATGGGGCTTCTGGAAGGATGTACTGGGTTGCTTAAAGCTTAAGCAGAGAATTAGAGTTCCAGTGAGAAACCCTAGCAGCTCAGCTATATAAGGAACCCCTAGGATGCCTAAAATCAGCCACTTCATCCTAAGAGGAAACCCTAGCCGATTTTAGAGCCTTCCCACCTCTTTTATATTCTTCCAATTGCTACTTCGTGTTTGTGACTCACTATAGGTGCAACAATTGAGGCACTAAGATCTTGAAGGTCAAGATCTAAAAGCTACAAGGAAAATGTATTCATTTAACTTTGTTTTATGTTATAAATCTCAAAAATTGTATGCTAATTAGGGTTCATGCTTTGGATGATTAGAATTGCATGTACAATCTCTCCTTAAGGAATTAGGCATTCGACAGCCTAGGCCTCATGTTTTGTTGTGTGATAACTTAGGAGCAACTTATGTCACTACTAATCCAGTATTCAATGCTCCAACTAAACACATAGATAGAAAGAATGTGGCAATGGGTGTTGTGGATGTGTGATTCATTTCATTTGGAGATCATAGCAGCTGGCCTCATGAAGCCGACAACCAAGAGCATGTTAGATCATTTAAGATACAATCTCAACCTTGTTATGGTTAAGATTAAAGATGGAATGTAAACAGAGAGCTTCTAGATAAGTATTAGATAAGTATATTTTATATATGTGTATTTTTGTATAGCGATATGACCCTAGAACTTAGGATTTAATGTTTGTATTTATATGTGGTTAAGTATATATTGAATCGAGAGCCTATGCCCTATGGGGTAATTTACATCAATTCTCGATTTTAACTCCAACATAGATCAATGGCGGAGCCAGGGTTAAAGTAGAGGGGTATCCCAAACTGATGGGTTCGGTTTCTTGGTTTTCCAAACTCTATTTCTGATTAAACCCAAACTCATTCAAAAGTTTAACTTGTTTAGAATTGAGAATGTTGTATTGCTTATATAACAGATGTATATGAGCTATGTTTCATGTAATGCCCAATGTGGGATAATTTTAGAATTGTAAAAAACAAGTTAAAATTTTGATAAACAAAATAAAATACACCCATGTAAGGGCCAAGATTCAAAATTGGGACCTCACACTTAAAAGTTTGATGCTTTACCACTTGGATAATGCAATACTTATGTTTAATTTTCATAGCTTCGTAATATAAAAGAAAATAAATGTTGGAAAGAAGATTTGAAGTTATAACCTCCAAAAACATTCACTAACACCTTAACCATCTTAACCAACTACAACTGGTGTTATTACCTTGCTAAACATATTAATATTATGTATATATTCACTATATAAAACGATTATTTTCTAAAAAAATTATAGCACTGAATTTTTTTCTAGGAGTATCCCAGGATACCCCGGGATCTATGGTGCATCTGCCAATGACATAGATTAAAAGGACCTCAAAAGTTATGTAAAGTAAAATAAAAGTGATGATAAACATAATTAACAATTAAATTTAATAATCTTCAATTCTTTTTAATGTATAATTTTGTTGAATGCATCACAATATGCTTGTTCGATAAACATATTGTTTTGGAATTTTTCTAAGTTTCGTTTTAGGGATGTCAAAAAGTCTTGTGGGAGGCCCATCCCGCATGGGGATATTTGTTGAAAATAATCTGGGACGGGGACGGGGGCGAGGGCAAGGTTAACACTCGTTTTAATTCCATGGGCGGTGCGGGGGTTGGTAGTTCCGTCCCGAAACCCCCGTGGGGCCCCATTAATAAATTATATAAGTTGACATATATTAATTATATAAATATAATAAAAATTAAATGATTTTCACATACAAAAATTCAACAAAAAACATGTTTTTAAGTTGTTTGTAACATGTAAAATTATGTTATAAATATCTATTTGTTACCCAAAAAATAGTTTCTTTTAGCCCAAACAATAACTTTTTTAGCCCAAATATGGTATCCCAAAATCATTCGGGGGCGGGGGAACGGAGGTGGGGGTGGAGGCGGGGGTGGAAAGAATGGAGATTTCGGGGAATAGGAAAATTTTAAGGGTATGGGTGGGGGATGCAATTCTCGTCTCGTTTGCCCCGTTGACCTCCCTAGTTTCCTTGACCTACCTACGTTCGGCAAGATGTATTAATAAAAGGTCATATATCATCGGAGTTCACCAAAATGAAACATTATTTTTTTTCTTTCACGGTCATTAATTACATAAAATTATTGGTTGTTACAAACGGAATAACCGTACCATTTCTTATAATTAGACTGTAGGGAGTGGTACCACCGAAATCGCACTTCGTTCACACATCATTTTTTTACCACATAGTTTTTGGCCACACCTAAGGAGTGATGTCATACTTTTCTTTGTTTTTTTTAAATAATTTAATTTAATAGAATTTCTTTTTAATAAAAAAATATAAATTTTCATTACTTCAAAATATAAAATAATAAAAAAAAACATTATATTGTATTACTAAAAAAACATTCATTTTTAATAAAAAAACATAATATTTCATTACTTAAAAATATTAAAAAAAAATTACATTGCATCTTTTAAAATGAAAAAAAAAAACAAAAAAAAAAAAAAAAAAAAAAAAAAAAAAAAAAACAACTTGGCATGACATTTAGAAAAATAATTGAAAAAACACACATCAAACGATTAAAAAGATTTAAAAAGGTTTGATATTTTCTAATTTTTTTGAGAGCTAAAGTAGTAGAAAGTTATAAAATTTTGATTTTGGTTTAAGGGTTGAAATAAGGTTTGATATATATATATATATATATATATATATATATATATATATATATATATATATATATATATATATATATATATATATATATATTTGAAATTTATGATAATTAAACCATAAAGAAATGGCAAAAGAAGAAAAAATATGCAGTAATATTCTATCATACTACGGTTCAAACCGCACCAGAAACGGTGTTGCCTTGTCACGATGGCAAAAGTGCACCACTCCCCCCCAAGACTTATAACCATCGGTCGTAAAATATTATTTTAAAAAATAAAATATTTATGAAATATGATGTGATTGGATTTACTGAAAAGTAAGTAGATACAAGAGACAACTAGAGATTTTTTTTGTCCTATAGCAGTATATGTGAAACCCCTATCATTCCAAGGGTGCATATTGTAAATAATATAAAAATATCCCCAATGTCACACCATTGACTTGGCATTTTCTCCCGTTTATATGTACAACCCAACACCGGATCTCAAAACACATCCTTCGGTCTCAAAATGAGTTTTCCCTACGAACAACCTCCTTCCACATCGTCATTGGCTCTTAGGATCCTCAATCCTGACCTTCCGGAACAAGGTCAACCCATGGTGGCCGGTGAATATGCAACCGAAGCACCTGCTCCGACCTATTCAACCGGGTTATTTAAAACTTCCCAGCAGCAGTTCCCAGGTGGTCAACGGGCGTTACCGGCTTATGAATCTGTCATCCCACCACCACAAGAAACAGCTGTTCGTACTCTGGAGCACTCGACTAATCAACTTAACACCGGAGATGTCAACCGTGAGTGGGATGAAGCCTACGGCGGCGGTCGTATTTCAGGTTTTGTGCGCCAGAACTATTCTTCAAATGGCGCCGTCGACGATTATTATAGTAATGGAGAAGCGGCGCCGGGAATCTCAGGCTATGCTCAACGAGATCATTCGAACACCGGATCATCCGCTGTTGATACGGAGTCCGATGAACCACCGAATGCCGCATACAGTATGACCGGAAACAAATTCAAGAATGCGTACAAGCTATTGAATCAGTTTGATTAATTCCTGATGGTTTAGATTTGAACTTGTTTGTGTTTCTTGTTGTAGACCTACGAATTCGCGAATAAACAAATAAAATCACATGATCACTGAGATTGTTTATGATTAGTAAATCTGCTTTTATGTTTCCATTCTAATTTATTTTTTCTGTCATTGACTATGATTGTTCGATATATAACTATAAATAATTAATTTGCAAATACCTCTTTAATTATCGTGAATGGAAAATCAGCGTACATTATCGTAATTGAAAATTTATGTGTTTATAAAACTTCTACGTTTGGTAAAACTTCTTAATAGACTATAATGGACATAACAATGATATATCTTTTTGATATATAGATGTATATTATTCAAAAAAAGTGATTTTACCATACAAAAATCTTAGTGGCCTAACTTATTATTTGTTTGTTTTCACACTCGTTGTAATATTTTATACAGAAAAAAGCAAATCGGCAACTGGAAGCTAGAAGCTAGGAAAATACAACGAAAAAGAAAAACAAGAACAACTAAGCTAAACAATGAAATGAATTGAAATTAGGTGTGTGTTTGAGATTTTTTTTTTTTTTTTTTTTTGAAAAATAGGAAATCTTGGCTTTTCAATTTTATTCACTAAAAATTTAGTGTTTACAAAACACCATTTTAATTTATTGACACTTTGAAAAAGCCAAAATTAATAAATAATTTTTAAAAGCACTCCCAAACTTCCTTTACATGTAAAATCAAAACATTAATTAAAAATCTAGAAGCCGCAATATTACGACCAATGAAGATCTAAAAATATTTTGACTAACGAGACAAATAAAGAAAGTACACACACCAAATATATCCCATCCCAATCGAATGTACACCATTTTGAAAAAATAAACAATCAATTTTTTAAAAAATGCCTTGTAAAGAGACTTATACTGAAGACACACCAAAACTGTGAAATTGGCAAAACACCAAGAATGTCTTGAAATACAACCCCTCCCAACTTTAAACGACTTTTCGTCTCACTTGACCTAAAATAATATATAACATTCTAAAAATCATGATCAAAAATTTCTTTTTAAAACATTAATAAGATCATAAGTATCAAGTCATTTCATCCATAAACAAACGTTTATATAACGAATCAAAATATCATCTCAAAACATGTTTTTTTTATCAGAGTAAAACATCTCAGGCTAAAGCTTCTTGGTATATGTCATGCGATCATCCCAAGTTGTTCCCTCCTTTACCGGAAGTACCTGAAACCGAAACTGAAAACCGTAAACATGAAGCCTAGTGAGTTCCCCAATCTACCTCATATACTACAACCATTGGGCCTAGCCCACTACTTTGGGCCTCGCCCGACATCGGACAAATCCGACATCAGGCCCTCCGGCATTGAGCCACGCTCAGTATACAGATCTATTTCTCTTAGGGCTTGCCTGTCTTTGGGCCCCGCCCACTAAACATGCACAAACGCATACATAACACATAACACATAATCTAAACATATTCTACTGCAATCCTGTTCTAAGGCCTCGCCTATCTTGGGCCTCGCCCCTGCCCTGCTACTGGTGAGTCATGGAACCCCGTCCATGCTCCTGCTGATAGTAAGATACAGGCCTCCGCCCACACTCACCTCTTTCCTATCTCGGGCCTTGCCCTTTTCCGCTACTAATGAGATACGGAACCCCGTCCATTCTCTACTAGTGATGAGATATGGGACCTCGCCCGCACTCACCTCCCTACCAGGCACATACAAGTATCATAGAGACAACAAGTATAATATAACATATAGCCTAAGAATCTTCCTCGGGGTTGCCCCGGTATCGGACCCCCGGCCCCGAGACATACTATCATCTAACATACTACGGGCTTACCCCGACATCGAACCCCCAGTCCTGAATCTATCATACCTACTCATGCAAGAATCACAAAGACCTCTAACATTCTAACCTTCCTCGTGTCACACCCCCGAACCAACGATGGCGAAAACGTCCGGGGGTGGTGGACTTCATGTATAGTATCACAACAACGAGTATAACAGTGTTTTAAGTAAATTTAACCATTATAAATATAATCGAGAAAGTTGCATGATTTCACAAGTTTACATGTTTCAAAATCGATTAGAATATAATGACAAAAGTTGTTTTTCCTGACACCGTAGCGTCCCATCCTCAAAAGCTGGTAGGTACGTGTTTTACTGATTACCTAAGAATACAAGTAGTTTTGAAAAAGTGTCAACAATTAAGTTGGTGAGTTCATAAGCTTTTGGATGTAGAGTTTGAAAACGTTTGTTTGTAAATGATATGTATAACCAAGAAAAGTCCAATATTTTCCTTATAAAATGTTATGTAGTCTTAAATCCCAAGACCGAGTATATGCATGTTATTTCGTACTTATAACAGTGTATGTAGATTTAAATAAATAAATCCCTTTAACGCAGAAATCCTCGTAAACTATATGTGTCGCTATCTCCCTATGTTAGGGGTGGCAAATCGTGCTATCGTTTCATGTTTCTGTCTAACACGATACGGCACGACAAGGTTTTATGTAACACAAACACGAGATGACACGATGTCGTGTTGTTTTTAACTAACATGAAAACGAACAAATTAAAAAACAAAAATCACGGCACGACACGAAAAATATATCATATACTAAAAGCTAGTTTATTTAATGAATACTTTATCAAATATAACATGAAAAACACGAAAAACACGAAAAAGAACTGCTAAATCGTGTCAATTTCATGCCGAATTTTGAACACAAACACGACACGACACGACATCATATTTTTTACAGTTAACACGAACACAACACGAACACGAATTCAAATTTCAGTTTCGTCTCAATTTCATTTTGTGTCGTGTAATTTTGTCGCGTCGTGTTATAAATTGCCACCCATACCCTATGTAAGTCGCTATAACCATAGTATGACAGAGAAGACCTGTTGCAATGTTCTTCAGGCGTCGGAAACGAAATGACATTTGTCACCCCCGACTAGTCGGTCGAGCTGTTGCAAGCAGCATGGGTGTGGGTTGTCAATCCCAATATAGATTTATACACAATTATCACGTTCTCCCTACATAAGACTCTGGTTATAACTTACAGGCATTTTAACCCGTACTCTAAGAGTACAATGAAGACTAGTCTCACAAATTACGAGAACGAGTTTATGTGTAGTGTGAGTGTAAAACCTTTTCTGCGGTGGAATTGAATCCCCTTTTCGTGTAGTATGTTTGTAATGTGAAATCCATAAACTATAACTATTATAGTTTATCATGTAGTAAATGAAACCCATTTGTATTGATTGTAAAACCTTTTCGGTGTAAGTAGTAGTTTAGCAAAACATAACTATTCTTATTATGTTTCATCTTGTATGTTTGTAATGACAAATGACTCTTACAATTCAATGAGTAATTTTTGTTCTTTAAATGTAACACAACAAAAAATAGATGTAAAATATGAAGTCATCAAAGATAAACACCTTGCTCAACATGTTACAAAGAGTTATAAAAATTGTAAGCTGTTTAACTAGTTTTAACTTTTCGGCACTGTTTTAGAAAAATCACAGAAAAATCATACGAAGTCGAAAACTGAATCCGTAAACTCTGAGAGTCTATAAAATTTGTCTAGTTTGCTCATATTTTTATTATGATTTTTAGTGATCTCTAAATTGTGTAAAAATGTTCATATTCACAGACTAGTCCGAATTCGTAGCTACAGTGATAGACAGTTTTGTAAAAATCACCAAAATTTGTAGAAAAATCATATGAATATGTGCAAGTAGTCATTTTAAAGGTATAAACATGAACTATTTGCACATAATACAGTTTTGAGAACTAAAAAGTTTTAGATGTTCAAAACAGTCCATGAATGGAACTAAACTTTCTTGTGGAAAGCTAATGTTTGAGTTTAGTTAAGTTTTTGGTGTTTTCATTTGTACCCCCCCCCCCCTGAAACTTGAAGAAAACATGAAAATGTAGGGTTATGAACTCACCTTGAGTGATTTTCTAAGTTGGATGGTTGAAGAAAGGGGTTTCCAAGTCAAGAACACTTGGAGAATGCTTAAGGATTTGAAGGTCCTAAGAACAAATATGACGATATTTGTGTAAGAAATCCATGATTTGAGTGAAGGAATGTAGAATATTCAAGATTAATAACGAAGAAATTACCAAGAGTGAAGGAGAACTCGTGTCCTACTGGAAAGTTTAAGTTCCAGAAAGAAGGAAATGGAAGAGAGAGAGGGGGGAGAGAGAGAGAGAGAGAGAGAGAAAATATATTTGGTTAAAGAGTGTGGTAAATGAAAATTGTGGGAAATGTGGGAGATATAGATCTCTTGGTGGATTTGGTGTAAGAATGTTGATGGAGTATTGGGGATGTGTAGAAAAAGGACAACGATTTGACATGGTAAAGTGTGAATACTGACATAAAGTGGATATGGGGATGGTTTGGTGTCATACTTCATGGAAAAGTCAACAACCCATATATAATAAAAGATATGACCCATGATAAAAGTTTGCCCCAAAATAGGAATAAAATATGATTTTATGGGGTCTAATATGTTAAAAATACGAATTTGGGTGAAAAACCCTCGTCAAAATCATCAAAAATGGGCTTAAAACGCGAAAGTGGTCGAAAATTGGGAAGAGAGGGCGAAAATGTGAAGCCTTCTGAGGGTCCGAGAAGGTTCGTAGTCTAAGAAAGTGGTGACTGCGAAAGTGGGTTCGTAGCGAGAGGAAGCTTGGGAGGCGAGAGGATTCACAGCGAAAGTTCCCGGTGGTAGGTGCGAAATTGCCCAATTGCGAGGGAGGTTCGGAACGAAGGGGAGGTTCGGTGCGAAACTTGCCGACCACCTGCGAACGAGCCCGAGTGAGTTGCGAATATAGTCGGATTTGAAAGGATGTTCGCTGCGAGTTTGCTCGGTTCGCAGCAAAGGCGCTAGATGCGAAATCTCCCAGTAGATACGAGCCTCCTCCTAACTAGTCGTGACCTACGAGGACCTGCGAGAGTTCATAGGTGAATAG